GGGTCCCAAGAGCCCCCTCATGCAAAGAACAAACTCTCCAGCCTCACCCCATCTCACACAGTCTCATCCAAGCTGCGGGCCTGAGGCCCTGGCTGTGTAAAAGTGGGCCGATGATTTAGGCTCTCTGCTTTATTTTTCTCAAATGGGAATTGGACATGATAGTAACATTTCTTAACACATAGTGTCATAGTGAAGATTAAATGAATTTACACCTGTTAAAGTGCCTGGTAGATAGTAACTGTTAACTATTGCCATCGTGAAAGAATGTTGATTTGTGCTCACTTAGGATATTCAAAAATTTTGCCGTACAATCTGAAAATAGCCATAAAAGAAATTCTCAAAATGTTTCAATTGGAAGAGTATAGCCTCCTGAGAAAGCTGTTTTAACGAAGACAGCATGGCACCAGCTTGTGGTTAAGAGCAGGCTCTGTAGGCAGGAGGTCTGCTTGGATCTTGGTTCCTCCACCTCCTGGTTGGATGGCCTTGACTGTGCTACCCACCTGCCCCAGCCCCGGCGTCCTGACTGTAAATGAACAAAGCTCAAGTGCCTACTTCACGGGACCCTCGTGGGCACCCGATGGGATAATACATGTAAAGCACTTGGCACCGTGGCTGGCGGACTAGGCATAATAAATATTCAGTTAATATTATTATTAGGGCTCTTAAAATACATAAATCTGCAAGTTATATTTAGTTGGTTACAATGTGACAATCCTTTATTGCCATGCCTCCTTACATATGGTCCCCAGATCACCGGGTTTATTTGCAAATTTCCTTTATCAAATGGAAGTATAGAGTAGGTTAGACTGGAAGGTTGTCGACTTTGGTCTCTAGGAGCCCTTACCTAGAGTGCCAGTGTTGCGAGACCTCACCTCCAATCTTGCCTGGGTTCTGTACATAATGTGCAAAGCCAGACGTATATTCACTTTGCAGTTCTGGAACCCCTGCACCTGGAGAAGGTCGTGGCCTCATTTTCCACTGAGGGACACTACCACTCAGGGAAGACAAAGGACTTTTTTGTGATTAATCCACGTCCCAGGTACCAGTTCCAGGGTGAAGACTCAGACTTGAGGCCAGTCCTCTGAGCCATGCTCCTCCACCTGGTCAGGATTTGTGGCTCTTCACAGCCACACACCTCCCTGCCTCCTTTCCAGCAGCAGTGATGTACAGTGGCCTGTTGGCATGTGGAGCTTCGGCCACACGGTGGCGCTTTATGCCCAGCAATCCCACTGGTCCTCTTTATGCATCACTGAAGTTTGGAAAATCAAACCGTAAAGGAAAGGGCCCTGCCCTGTAGTTCTTAGAATACACAGATATCATTGTCAACGAGTATGGGGCTGTTAGCAATGGTGGAGGCGAACTGGGTTCACTAGCTGGTTACCACCGTGTAGGAAATGCCTCAGTTCTTGCTGGTTTCATCCGTCCTAAGGGGAAATCGGAGGACCTCTTGTTTGAAATCAAAGGATCCAGAATTCCACATTCAGAGCCCATTTTCAGGTGCTTTTCACCACATTGTACTTAACCATATGCGCAAATCAAAACCTCAATTTCCAGCTTGGTACATGAAAGAAAATGGGCTCACATAAGCCAGAGTTTTGATTTTCCTGGAAAAAGAGATTTTTCTGAAGATATTACCTGACTCTGACTCCAAGACAGGCCTAAACCTCTTCCAGAAAAAAAGAGAGGGGTTAACAGCGGCTAGTTTTATTCTACTCTTGAAGGTGATATAGGACATAGGCCTGGGCATGAATGACCAGCTCCGACACTAACTAGTTTCGGAGCCTTAAGGAGGCTATTTCACGTCTCTTCACCTGGATGCTCTCATCATTCAAGGGTGTTCATGATCAGAGGACCTATGCCATAGGATTGTGGTAAGGCTGAATTAATATTAAGCAGAACCAAATGAAAGTGGTTCAGTTGGCCAATATTCTAAAGTCTTTGACCTGTGAAACAGCAATTTCAGGTGGCTCATTCTGAAACACGGAAAGTGCTTTGTGCCAGGCATATTGTGGGGCTTGATGAAAGTGAGTGATTATCACAGCTGGCATGAAAAGACTGCAAGCAGTTACTATGAACATTTAGGAAAACAACTGCCCTGTCTTCTGGATATATTTTTTCCTAAAGCTTCTTACTGATACATGACTCAGTTGTTTCTGCACACTAAAGTTTGTAATATGCAAATACGCCAAAAGAAATCTGGCTCTTTATCACAGCTCTACCTTTGGCCAGGGTATCCCAGCCTCAAGACACCTTTCAATGAGTTATTAATGTCACCAAGTGAGATAACTTGAGGCCAACCCAGTACCTCTTTCATTCCGTGCCTCTGAAGGCCCTAGATGGTGGGGAGCTCTCTCTGCAGAGCCTGCCTCTCAGAGAGCGCTCTGTGGCTTAGACTGATGTGGAAATTGATCCTTGCAGTCCCTCTGATGCACACACATCAAAGTTGACCTGTTCTATGTCCTTTTCTTCTTAAGTGACTGCTAGCTAATCTGATTAGCCAAAGGGATAATATTTTTATTTTGTCAGGAGTTTCTCAAGTTGTAGCCAAAAGGAATGAGACTTTCAGAGACCTGGCAGGCCTGGGGGTGGGGGCATGTTTTCTAACAGACGGGCCTCTGGAGCCCAGCTTCAGCCGCCCCCTGTCTTGTGTCTGGGAACACCTTCCTCTGCTGATATAGGCCCTGGAGAAAAAGCCAGCAGTGACTCAGAAACCAGGAAGTCGGAGGTAGACTAGGGGCAACAAACCAACCGCAGGAAAGCCTTCCTACCAGGAATGAGACAGCTGCCTTCCCAGAAACGCACAAACAAACCACCAAAAACCAGATCGGGGTTCTATTTTCTTCTCAGACACTTACGTTGCATTCTCCCTCTAGTTTCTTTCCTTAAATGATAGAGGTTTACTCTGGTGACCTCCCAATGCTATCCCGCCCTCCCCCCAAGTTCATGAAAGATAAAAGATGTGTGTTTGTCACTGCATTTCATACACAGACCACGAGAGATGAGATGTGGCTTATTGGACCTCATCACGTAACACAGAACACGCATCAGGCGAGGCTGTGTCCATACTTATGTCTAATTTGGGGAATGATGTTTGAACTCTTCCATGCACGAAATGTAAGTTAAGTTAAGCCAGGCACAGCAGAGAACATACTACTGTATGATTCGATTCATGTGAAGTTCAAGAGCAAACAAAACCAGTCTATGGTGATAATATGACAGTAATCAGAACAGGGGCAGTTGGGGTGGTAGGACTGACTGAGAAGGGGTACCAGGGAACCTTCTGTGATGACGGAGATGTTCTATATTTTTATTAGGGTATGAGCTACACCGTAGTACACATTTGTCAAAGGTCATGAAACTGCTCACTTAAGATAGAAAAAGGTAACAGCGAAAAATGTTCCTCAAAACAATAATCACAGTATGGGCAGGGAGGTCCGTTATGTCATGGAAGAGAGAAGGGGAATTTCCATATCGTGAAATTTCCTCCCTGGCTGTCTATGCAATTGAAAAACATATAAAATGTCAGCCAATTTTCCAGACAGTTTCAAAATCTAGGGCCTTTTTTTTTTTTTTTTTTTTTTTTTTGGGTACAAGCACTGTCTATGTCTTTTCAAATGTTTACAGCGTATTTACAAAAAGTAGTCCGTTAGGTGGCAGTTGTAATTAGGGAAACTGGCAGTGAAAATTAACACATACCATAAAAGAGGGATAATTACTCCACTGTCATATACAATATTATTATCAAATAGTATTCACCCAGGAATCCAATTGGTTCGTTCCCGCTCAGCCTGGTTGTTACAGGAAAGACCCTCCCTTCCTTGTTACCCTGGGTATGAAGCTGCCACGTTCCATGGATGATATGCCATATGGTACTTAACATCAGAATCAAAATGAGCTTGTGCTTTTTGTGTGAGATGTTGAAATTTATTAGAAAATCAGAAAGCCTAATTTCCACCAAGTTCCTGAGAACTGCCATCTGCCGCATGAAAAAGAAAATGGAGATTTTTTTTTAAAACCATTTACTTATTGTGAAATGTGAGGGTGCTGGTGTATGTGTTTCAAAAAGCGGTTGGGGGCGGGGAGGGGTTTGTGAGAGAGCGCCAGAGCAAGCCCACTTGGCAGGGCAGAAAGAAAGAGTGTCAGCTGAATGGAGGCAAGGGCTTGCGAAGCGTAATTATGGAAATCATCTATTCCCTGAGCCTTTTTTTCTCCCCCTGACCACATGTTCCTTCCACCGAGGAGCAGCACATAGAGTCCAGCTTTTGAGAGTAAGTGAAGTCCCCACTTGAGAAAGAAGAGGGGGCTTAAACCAGCCTCTCCGGGTGTCAGGTCCTCCTATGGAGAAGCTGGCCTGAGTGAAGCCAGAAGGGTAAAGGCTGAATGGAAGGAGGAGCAGGAAGTCTTTCTAAGGAGAGCGACAGAAAGAAGGGCAGGCAGGATGGAAGAGGGATCCCAGCAGGGGGGAGGAAGGAGTGCCTACTGAGGAGGGAAGAATCTTTCAACACACTGCGACGCCTAAGGAAAGATGCTGAAACCTTTCGCGAGGTCGTGCTATGCCTGGACATTCATTCATTTCGGCGGACGGCCTCCGCTGTGGCGTTGTTAGGTCCCCGATGTGCTGTCTTAATCACGAGTCACGTCCGTCTGGTCCCCCACACCTCCACGCTGCAGCCTGGAGGGCTTACCCCAGCCTTTGATTTTACCGAATTTATTTATTTGTTCTCTGTTTGTTCACCAAAGCTAGCATGAGTGTTGCAACTGCTGCAGGCAACATTCGCTGGACCCGGTTAGTGGCTGGACTTCTCACCTCTGACCACAAGTGATGCTCAGGAACTAGACCTCTGGCAAACGGCCCCACCAGGGCCTGAAACGGAACGGTGATGAGGATGGAGGATGAGGCCCGAGGCACCAGGGGACGTCATGCGATGGCACCGTGGGGCCACGTGTCGGTCAGGGCAGGCCGTTCTTGGACGGCCTTCAAGAGATTTAACTAAAGAGAGACTGAAAAGACAGCTCAGCAGCCTCATCTACAAGGTAGTCTTCCTGCAGGAGCTTAGGGGCACATGCCTTTCCGTGCTGGGAGAAGAGCGTTCTGTGGCGTTGGCACCTCGGGGAGAAGCTTCAGGTTTCACGATGAACTCCTGAGAGCTTAGCATCCGGGGTGTGCATGACTTGGGGTGCCAGGCAGCAGGTCCCGCTCGCTCCCCGGAGGGGACGGCCTTCCGCTTTACTCCCCAGGCAGCCGAGGACCCAACAGTGCTCCTTGCTTGGAGGCCAGCGATGAGCTCCTAATTTCCCTGTGGGCCGCCCAGACCTCTACAAGACAGGCTTCCAGAGACGCTGTGCGTTCTCCGGAGCGACCAGGGCAGGAAGGGCGGGCGCTCGGTGCTGCCCCTCAATCGCCGCGGCCCCAGGAGCAGCAGCGACAGGAACATGGTGAGCAGCTCTCGGCACCCTCGGCCCCGACGTTCCCTCAGCTTCCGTTTGTTAAGCACCTATTGTTCCAAATGCTTGTTATCTAAGAAGTGTGGCTGTAGTTTCCTGAGTGCTTACTAAGTGCCAAGTACCTCACACATATTACCTCATTTAATCCTTACTGAAACCCTGTGAGGAAGGGACCATTCTCACCCCCATTTTCCAGATGAGACAACTGAAGGCCAGTAAGATCTGGCCTGAGTTAAACAGCAAGTAAGACTTGGGGTCAGCAATGAGCCTCATGGTCCGACTCCAGAACCATTTCTCTATAACCCCTACAACCATCCTCCAATCGAGCAAATGGTATTACTTCCACTTCAGCTCATGAGCAGGCTGGGCTCAGAGACATTAGGCAATTTACCCAAAGCTGCACAGCTACAAGTCACAGAAACAGAAACCCTTCTGGCTCAAGAGGCCAAGCCCTTTCTCCTAAGCCACATCCCCTCTCTGGGCTCATTGAGGCTGCCTTTTCTTTTGAAGCCACATTCCCCAGCCAATGCCTGGCAGGCACGGCGAGTAGGGCTGGATATGCAACATGAACACATCTTTACAAGAGAAAGATTTGGTAAACCTTAACGTTTTCAGATGTTTTAATTGCTTCTTTGGAACACAGGTGTTTTTTGGGGGGTGCCACAGCTATGGCCTAAAGTAGCCTCTGAAAGATTGGGGTGCTGCCTGCCAATGACAGTCCCCGCCTGCCTGCTGACCTCACCGGCTGAGCGGTACTAGTTCCAGATGGTTAGAGAGTTTGGTGCTGGCTGCCATTCTTGCCCACTTCAACCAGTCCCTCAAATGTGTAGAGTGTGTTCTACCGAGTATCCCCCTCCACCTGGGTGTGGGCAGTGAACACCGAGGCCCTGACATGCGCTGGACACATTGTGTGAAATCCATTGCCTCTTTTGTTCTCTCCAGGGGCAGAGAAAGTCACCTGATTTTAGCGGACAGGAAGAGGACATGTTTGTAATTAGCAGAGGGTGAAAGGGCTACTCTCTGATCTATAGGCTCAAGGTCCCTAAATGATTAGTTCTGCTACCGGCTTGGGGAACTGCTGAACACCAAAGACAAATGCTGAACTACATGTCTTGGTGGCCCTACAGTCATCAAACAGAGGCCCACTATCGGGGTGGTCATGACCCAGAAGTAGATGATGTGGTTATCAACCAGCAGTGGTCTTTAAATTCCCTGATGCCTCAGTTTCCCTTGTTACACACCGGAAGGGTATCTCTAGTCCTCAGGCAGTGGGCACGATGTTTTATTTGACTGGGCATACTTTTGCAAAGATTGCTAAGTCAAACAGTTGCTATCTTTGTTAACATTGGATTGATGTTGAATAACTGGGGTCATGTAAAGATTTTCCTAAGTTCAGACTTGAGGTTTAAATTCACTACTTCCTTCCTCAATAAGTATTTGTTAAATACCTACCATGTATCGGACACTGTGTTGGCATTTTAGTCAAAATACAGATAAATGACGCTTACTTCTTGGCCCTGAGGAGCTTGCAATTTAACAAAGAACAGAAAAAAAAAAATATATATATATATATATATACACACACATACACACACACACTCATATGTGTATATATGTACATATGTATGTATATCCATATATAAACACACACATAGTATATGTAAGTATATACAAATACATGCACATCCATGCATATATGCCCGTGTGTATGTATATGTGTGTGCTGATTGATATAAAATATGAGCATGTGCATGTGATAGTTTAACACGCCAGCCCTGTGGTGATGAGGACACAGAAGCATCCAGCAGTGAGCCCGACAGGGAATGATGGCTGGGGCTGGTCAGACCAGGCTGCCTGCAGACCAGGCAGCATCCCAGTAGCATCAGAGCCTGGCCTTGCCCTGGGCTGACTGGGTGAGGAAAGAGGAACCCCTATCCATTGAAGAAGTGCCATCTCTGTTTGGGGAAGGTGGTAGGCATTTTGGATGAGCCTAACGCAGCAGGAGTAGATGAAACACTGGGAGGCTGGGGCAGGTGGATCGCAAGGTCAAGAGATCAAGACCATCCTGGCTAACATGGTGAAACCCTGTCTCTACTACTAAAAATGCAAAAATTAGCTGTGCATGGTGGCACGCACCTGTAATCCCAGCTACTCAGGAGGCTGAGGCAGGAGAATCACTTGAACTTGGGAGGCAGAGGTTGCAAGGAGCCGAGATTGTGTCACTGCACTCCAGCCTGGCGACAGAGTGAGACTCCGTCTCAAAAAAAGAAACGAAACGAAAAGAAAAGAAACATAAATTAAGACAGTTCTAGAGAGTGCTCTGAATGCCAGGCTAGGGTGCAGGCACACACTGGGGACGGCAGAGCCGGAACAAGATGGAGTAAGGAGTAAGGATGACATTGGTGGTGGGGAACTGGAAATACAACCCAGTAGGACAAATACTCCCATTTCTGGAAAAGAACTACCAGCGTTTAGACCCTTTCCTTCCTGTTGGCACTGGGCTCTTTCACGTTAAAAAATTCCTATGTATATGAAAATCCAAACTTATAAAATAAAGCTGGAGCCTGATATTTGTGGGACAAAAGGATTCTTCCCTTTAGGAAGAAATCTTTTGGAAGCTGGGCTCACAAGGCGCTTTCAAATATAATTCAATCACCCCGCTTTGGTTAGGAGCCCCTGAGTTGTGGAAGGCGGGTGGCCTGCGTGGGGCACGCTGCCCCTCACTAAGCAAACATGTTCATGGGTCCTCCTTTTTTTTTCCCCCATGGAGGAAGAAGAAGAGCACAGATTAATGAGCAAACCCAGAAGACACGTTTTTCTGTTAACCTGGTGCTGTCTTTCTTACTGGAGTCTCCTCCTCTGCTTTCCTGCACTCCTACATTCTCCACACGCAACCCAAACTAGATTCATTTACGTATTGTAAAAAATTGTCCTTTGACTGCCTTTTTGGAATTGACATGAAGTGTGTGCCCTTCCTTTCTCCCACATCTAACACTCCCCTGCTACTGGTGTGTTTTTTAATTCTTGAACAAACAAGTTCCTTATTTCAGAGAGGATTATAATTGACAGTAAACACTTTATTTAACTCTCTCTAATTATAATTCGATTTCAAATGTAGTTCATATGTTTTCTCTATGGAAATAACCCAAGCGGTGGGCTTCCAGGTTTTCCGTAAGTTGAGAATGAGTACAGCTATTAAATTAAATCATGAGAAACAAGGAAAAGGTATCATTAGTTTCTCCAAGAGGATGCCATTGTACATTTCCTAAAAGACATGAAGATGTCTATGACTGGGGATTTCATGCCTCATTATACATATTTTTCTTCTGGTTTTGTATTCTAGTATGGATTTATCAACACCTGTCTGCAGTCTCTTGTGATAGAGAAATTTGGCGAAGAAACATGGAAAAAATTGAAGTAAGTAAATGAAAGGGAAGATGAAGTATCCCTGGAGCAACTGGTAAACCTCCAGTGTTTTTAAGGTTACAGCTTTTTACTGACATTTTGATTAAGGCAGTCAGTTGAATGGACCCGTCAAAAAAGATACAGCTGGTTCTCAAAGAGATTCATTTACTAAGGAGATCAATTCAGTAGTGTAAACATATGAGTTAGATACAGAAAACACCTGGTATACCTTAGCTGTCTTTAATGAAGGTATCAGTCTTAATTCCTAAAATCAGCCTTAAAACAGGGTCTCACTGTAAATAGTACTAACATTATTTTAACTTTTATCTCATGAATGAATTCTCATTTTCTAATCACAGAAGAGAGAGCAACTGCATTATTTCCATTGCACATCAATGGAGCTGCCAAACAGAAGAGGGGAGACCCCTTTTAAGTTTGAGCTGAGTCACTTCTTAGGTGTTCCTTAGTTACGTCTTGGTTTTTCTCCTCTGCCTCTGTCCAGTAACCCCTTAATGCCATCATTTACCTCTCCTTACAGTCTCCTCTCTGGCTCCTGCAATCTTGTGCTGTCTGCTTTCCTAGAGGCTCCCAGCCTTAAAGTATTAGGGGTTGGGGATGCAAGTGCCTCAGAAATCACTTGATCCTAGGAACGGAAAGGAAAACAAAAATATGGAAAAATGATTGGCTTCCTCAGTTCATCAATGCCATGCAAATTAAAACAATTAGACACTGCTTTGCCGATTAAATCTCCAAAAAATTTAAATGATAATAACCAGTTCTGGTTAAGATGCAGCAAAATGGGTAATTGCTGATGGCATAGTAAATCAGTGCAGCCCCTTTGGAAAGCAGTCTGACAACATGCACCAAAAGCTGTGCAAATGATCAAATGCTTTGAGGCAGTAAGTCCATTCTTGAGAATCTATTCTCTTAGAAACACACACCTTTACGCACACATATACGCATATGTATGCAAAACGATATAATTTAACTTTATATTTAAAAATAATTAATAAAAATTGTCTTTAGAAGTTAAAAACAAATGGAATGACAAAAGAATATGCATTATTATGTGATGATTGCAAAGATCATGAAGCAACTTGCAAATTTTAATGACAATACTAAGTTAAGAAACAAGAAAAAAAGACCCAAAAAACAGAAGTCACATATCTACTAGGTAAATCAAATGAAAAAGGATTAAGAGAAAGACCCAAATAATAACAAATAGTGACTGAATTAGATACAATATTGGATGATTTTTTTCCTAATATCAATTTCCCAAATTTTCTTTTTCTGTTTCCCAAATTTGCTATATGGTTTTATTAATGTTGTAATGTAAAACCAATTTAAAATGCTTAATGTAAACGTTTCCTCCCCTTTCTCCTACCCCATTTTAAAAATAAAATAAATCTAGCTGAGAGCACAGTGACTAACTTGCCCACAGCCAGGTCCTGCCCAGACCCACGGCCCTGCACAAGCCTGGTCACGGCAGCCCACTGCTCACACACGTGGCACCATCAACCTTCTTATTCTGGGGAAGGCAGCCCAGGGTAAATCAGCATCTCTGGGGTAAATTGCTTACAGCTTCACAAGTTTAGATGGATAAAAGGATCTCTGGCCTCAGAGAGGTGAAGAATACTCATTTCCAAATATTTAAGTAGGAGCACTGAGTAATTATAATCAGAGAAATTGGTGGACCCTTGAGCGATTACTTAGCCCAGATCTCAGTTGACAGGTGAGGAAACTGAGGCCCAGAAAGCCGAAGTGACTTGGCCAAGACTGCACAGCAAGGGGACAAGGGGTCAGGATGCACTGTCGGAACCTTAAAGCGCCTTTTTTCAGCCCCCTATGCGGCCCTGGGGAGAGACGCGTTTAAAGACTATTTATTTATTTATTTATTTAGGGCCATTGTGTTGTAAAGGCTAAACTCAGTAAGAATAGAGGACAGGAAAGAGCATTCTTCTTATTTTAAGCACTTACTTTGAGCCACGCCTCTTATATAAAATCTCATAAAAGCCCAAAAAGAACACTGCAAGGCAAGGTATTGTCCTGCTTCACCAAAGAGGAAACTAAATCCCAGAAAGGACTTTGCTGAGGACTGCACAGTAGATAAGGGGGTTGGGGTGGGGACACAAACCCAGTTCTGTAACGGCAAAGACTCCTCTTTCTATTAGGCCATTCTACCTGGGGAAAGGAAGAGCAACTGGCAATGGGAATTCATTTTCATTCATACTCAAGGCTCTGGGTGAAATAAGAAGTGTCTTTAAACATGAGTTTACTAAGTTTCCATAGTAAGTCTGGTACTGCGAAAAACACCAGAGAATTAGAGGATTAAAAAGCAAATAAGCCATTTGACCTGGATGGCTTTAGAATCTGTAGCAACATTGCAGGTATGCCTGGAACACGGGAACTAGGGTGCTGAAGGGCCATGTCTTATGGGAAGCTGGGACCATTTCCTCTGCTCTGAACTGGACAAGGCAGGTGAGCTCCAGCCCTACCTCTGCCTTCCACGGGATCAGCTGCTCCTATGCAGAGGGCGAGCAGTCTTAGGAGGGGGAAGGCAGGCTCAGCCAGGCTGTTGGATGGACATTCCAGGGTGGGGCGGGGAACGAACTTGGGAAATAGTATGCTCATATTCTCAGATGTCACAGGGCCTTGTTGCAAGTCCCTAGGAAGCAGTTGTTGGATTCAGCAGGAGCTCTGGGGCTGCAAGGCTGAGCTCGAAGCCCAAGGCTTACAGTCTGTCTGTATGACCCTGGCATGGCACTTAACCACTCTGTGGCCCAGATGTTTCGCCTGAAAAGAAAAATAACAAAAGTAGCTATCCTCACAGGGGTCATTGCAAGTATTAAATGAGATAGATAATACAAACCAGGCATTTAGAAAAAATGCGTGGCCTAGGATGAGCACTCAACAAATGTAAGCTGCCGTCACATAATGGCTGCTTCAGTGCTTGCTATTGGCTTATTTTCAAGATGCTGGTCCTTGAGTGGGTTGGGGGAGAGGTGGCAGCAGTGGCGTGCATCCCGTTGGACTGGATTTGCATCTGGGCTCTGCTGCTCAGAGCTGTGTGGTCATGAGCCAGTTGCTTCACCTCTCTGAAGCTCTGTTTTCTCCTTGATAAAGGGAGAAGAATGTACATATCTTCTAGGATTAAGGAGAGAATTGAGTGGTACAATCTACATAGAAGTACCTAGTAGAAACTCAGTAAGCACCCTTCCTCCTCCTCTGAGATATCGGTGCTACATTAGGATTATATTATACTTTACATGACTAGAAATCACTTTATTGCTATGCCTTCCATCTTGGAGAAGCAGATGTTCCTCAGAGGCTTCCTGGTTGCGCAGAGGAGACCTGGCCTCCTAAAGTTCATGTGACTTGCTGAATGGCTCTATCTCCACTCCTCCTTTCAGTCTGACCTCCTGACACTCAGTATAGGTCACTGTCTAGCCCTGCCTTGAGGAAGCTTCATAAATGCTAGGGACCAGGCTGTAAGGGGGAGAGATGGATTTTTGTTTGATTTTTGATGTATGAATCTTCTACCATCTGATTTCCCGGTTAGGACCATTAGCCTCATCTCAGCTGCTGCTTAGAAGAACCTGTAATGCCTAAGAGAAAGGCCGGGGCTCTGGAAATCACTGAAACTAGCCAGAAGTAGCCAGAGCACTTAGACATGAGCAGAGGCGAAATGACATGTTCAGCTCTGCCTGTGACAGGCAGCTGAGATGTACTGTTTAACGAGGGACTGTCACCCTCCAGGTATGACTGAGCACAGGTGGCATGGCCAGCTGCTGGACCCTCATCGGTTGAGATATTCAGCATATCTTTCCAAGTCAAGGGGGAAAAATATCCCCAGCTTCCCATGCGTAAGTGGATGGAAGAGACATTTTCCTGTTTGTGATCCTTGGTGTGACCTCCCTGAAAGGCTGGAATGTCATCTCTTTGTTCCTTTAGAAGAGCAGTTCTCATAGCATTCCCAAACAAACAGGAAGTTCTGGAATCCGCATGACCTCCAAGGTGATAAAGGACATTTGAATGAGGGTGTAAGAGTGCAAGGGAACCAGAGGAATATGTCTGGGAATAGAGAACCCAGCAGGGCACATCCTGGGTCTGTGTCGTTAGGTTTTCTCTCTTTCATGGTGAAGTTTCAATTCTCTGCTTAATTGGGCCACAGAGGATGTTTGTATACAGAGCACTAGACATTGATATGATTGCACTGGAAATGCATCTTTAAGCCAAAAATAAAGCCAACCAAAAAGTCCACCAGCTATGAAAATTGTATCATATTAGAATTTACTTAAAAAAAAAAAACCGTATGCAGAAAACTCACCTTTTAAAGGAGAAATTAAGGCAAGATTATTGGCTCTGCAAAAAGATTTGCTTCAGGCCACATTTAAATAACAAATTCCCTAGTGTTTTTAAAGTAGAATTTCAGCTAAAACCCATCAATTCCTACAGAAATTTTAAGCAGAAATGATTAGGTAAAATGAAGCATGTTTCCAGGCCTTATGACATAAATTTGATCTTACATGAAATAGGAAACAGATGTTTCTCCTCCTCTCTGGCATTATTTTCCTCTCTTATAGTCTAGATTTATAGATTTCTAATTATAAATCACTTTTTTTTCAGAGACAGGGTCTCACTCTGTCACTGAGGCTGGAGTACAGTGGTATGATCATAGCTCACTGCAGCCTCAAATCCCTGAGCTCAAGCGATTCTTCCACCTCAGCCAGCAGAGTAGCTGGGACAGGCCTGCACCACCATGTCCAGCTAATTAAAACAAAATTTGTTTCTGTAAAGATAAAATCTCTCTATGTTGCCCAGTCTGGTTAGGAACTACTGGCCTCAAGAGATCCTCCCACCTCGGCCTCCCAAAGTGCTGGGATTACAGGTGTGAACCACTGTGCCTGGCCTAAATCGCTGGTTTATAATCTTTTGGTTAAAACCTTTATTGAAATTTAACAATGAGAATCAACTAACGGATTAGGAAGAGTAAGGCCTTCGGAAACAGATAAACCTTTACATTTTGCCTGGGCCACTTACTTGGGGTTTAACTTTGGCAAATGTATTTTTTCAACAA